TCTGTGATCTTGGACCTCCTAAGCCCTCCTGTGCCTCATTTTCCCCATCTGTACGATGGAGGTGATGATAGCACTTATTCAGGGGGCTACTGTCAAAATTAAATAGGATAATATATGCAAAGTGCATTGAACAGTGCCCAACACATTGTTCAATAAATCTTAGCTATTATTAGAATTATTATAAACAGATGTTTGGTTATTAATGTGCTTTGTGCTTACACAAATAAGTCATGAGATATGAATTGTCTTGGGGGGAAGGTAATTAGGTTTGTTTGTTTGTTTGTTTTTAATAGAGGTACTGGGGATTGAACCCAGGACCTCATGCATAGCATGCACTCAACCACTGAGCTATACCCTCCCCCCTTGAATTGTCTTGATTTAATAAGCACATCATATTAGATGAGATAGACGGGTGGACCAATATCAAGATGTCATTCTGAGGGCAGAAATAGGAGTTTTTTTTTTTCCATGCTAGGATAGCCCAGAAGAGAGGGCAATTCATTCTGCCTGTCAGTGTTGGGTTGGAGTAAAAATGCTATTTTGCCCTTGGGTGTGGTCCCAATGCTTCCTTATGTGTTCATGAAACACTGGAGGCCACTTAGTGTGGAGGCTCAGAGGCAACATTGTTAAGTTAGGCAGTCGGGGTGGGGGGTGGGGGGGTGTAGCCTTGGGGAGTGAGTCGCAGTGGCTCTGGAGAGCAGAGAGGGGTGGGCAACCAAAAAGCAGGGGGAAGCATGGGATGTACTCTGCGGAGGGCCGAGCAAGGACAGAGCGGGCAGAAAGGCTAGTCAGGGCCCGAGTGTAGAAGGGCCCTCACAGAATCTCCCAGAATCTCCCAGAATCTGGACTAAAAACTGGAGCATAAAATATTTTTGTTAAACAAACAGTATTTCAGTATAAATCTGTGGGAGCTTAGAAGCAAATCCTTTTGTTAAGCCTAATAAAAATATGTAATAATGTTCTCATGGTCTCACTCTCAAGAGTTTGAATTTTGGGAAGAGGGAAATTCCAAAATTCTGCAGAGTGGTGAGAGGGTTATTTATCCTAAAATCTGGGCGTGTCTGGCTCCTTTCCTTCTTCAGAGCCACTGCTGCAAGGTCCAAGGAACTGTAAAGTCCTCCCCACCACGGCGTGCTGGGGACAGATTTTTGTGAGTCATTATTCCAGTCATATAACCTGAGGGCACACTCTGACCTTTACAACCTTTCACATCTATGTTTTGACGGTTCTCAGCACCACATTCTTCTCTTGTTCACTGTATGTCTACCTCAAGCCCCATGAAGGCAGAAATCTTACTAATTCTTTTTAAATTTTGAAATAATTTCAGACACACAGAAAGGTTGTAGGAAAAGTTCAAAGAATGCTTGCATACTTTTCATCCAATTCCCCAGTTGTCAATATGTTACATTTGCCATCTGTTTTACCAGTTTCTCTCTATGTATATACATTCCTATAGACTGAATTGTGTGCCTCCCAGATTCATGTGTTCATATGAAGCCCTACCCGCCCCAGGACCCTAGAGTGTGACTATATTTGGAAACAGAGCCTTTAAAAAGGTAATAAAGTTAAAATGAGGAAGTCATGGTGGGTTCTAATCCAATCTGACTGGTGTCCTTGCTCCCACAGAGAAAAGGCAACGTGAGGACAGTGACAGGGTAGCCATCTGCAAGTCAGGGAGAGAGGCCTCAAGAGAAGCAAACCTCCTGACACTTTGATCTTGGACTTCCAGCCTCCAGGATTGAGAGAAAATTAATTTTTTTCTCCCAATTTTATTGATACATATATAATTGATACACAGCACTGTGTAAGTTTAAGGTGTACAACGTAATGATTTGATTTACATACATCATGAAATGATTATCACAGTCAGTTTAGTGAACATCCATCATCTCATGTAGATACAATAATTTCTGTGTTTTAAGCCAACCAGTCCGTGGTATTTTGCTATGGCAATTCTAACACACAAATGGATGTGTGTGTGTGTATGTATATAAATATATATATATTTTCTGAACCATTTGAAAGTAAGGTGTAGACATGGTATTTATCTCTTAAAGCAAGGACATTGTCTTTACATAATCATGATATGATTGGGTATAGGAAATTGATTCATACAATGCTATTAGCTGATCTACAGAGTTTATTCTTATTTTGCCAGTTGTCCTATAATGTTCCTTATAGCACGAGAGAGAGAAAAGAAGAATGAGGGGAAAAGAAAGAAAATTACATATAAACACACACACATATATATATATATATACACACACATATACATATATATTATATTTATATATGTATATATATATATATATATTTTTCTTTTTTGTCTGGAATCACACATTACATTGAATTGCCATGTCCAGGCTCCTTTGATCTAGAAAAGTTCGTCATTCTTTGTCTCTCATGACTTTGACATTTTTTGAAGAGTACAGACTGCTTTCTTGTAGAAAGTCTCTCAGTTTGGGCTTATCTGATATTTTCTTGTGATTAGGTCTACTAGTGTATTCCAAAATCTCAGGAATGTGGCTTTTTCCTGGACTGTTTTACTGTTTCAGATCTGTGATCTCTCCTCTCAATGTGTGAATTTTTTGGAATTCAATGGTTTAGAAAAATCATTCCATCCAATATTCAGACTTGCTAAGAGTTATGAAGTGATGTGTCC